CGCTGAAAGATAAGGTATAGTAATGACATTAATTCATTATCTTTTCTTCTTCTCTTCTCGAGTGACTTTGAAGCTCATTCGTGTGGTGTTTTTCTTTATCCTGATCTGGGGGTGTTTTGGACACAAAATGCAACAAACTTGAAATCTTCTTCTTCTTCTTCTTCTTCTTCTTCACTTCCTCTTATACTGCTGTGGGTGTCGAGGGAGATATAAGGTTCTGTTTCTAGCTCTTCTGGCTGCCTCGACCATAGGCACATCGTGCTGTTGTAGAGTTTCTCTGATGTTATCCTTCCATCTTGTTCTTGGTCTACCCCGTGCTCTACGTCCTTCTTCTCTTTCCATGTATGCTTTGTATGGTATGGTGTCACAAGGCATTCTCTCTAAGTGGGCAAACCATTTCACTTGCTGTCTTTGTATGCAATCCAGAATTGGTTATGTGCCGACTTGTTCTCTTATGATCTCATTCCTGATCTTATCTCTTATGGTCACTCCTACAGCCCTTCTCAGACATCTCATTTCCGTGGTTACTAATTTTCTTTTATGGTTTGTTGTGAGTGACCATGTCTGGCACTTGAAATCAAGGGTAACAAATCCGAAAAGGGAAAGGAAAAAAAAAATGGGCCTTTGAGCTGAAATGCTATAGAAAGATTGTCAGAATATCATGGACAAAGAAGAGAAGAAATATTGACAGTTTTGAAGATCTGAACATCAAGGAAGATTGACTAATAAAAACAGCATCTTGTTCCGAAGCTGAACTATTTTGGTCATATCAAGCGCCAAGGAAGATTGAAAAAAAAAAAAAAATAGCAGAATGCATGGTACTAAGATCATGACAAACAGTGACACACTGACAACAGTCCAAACAGTGACAAACAGACGAACAGTCCAAACAAACAACAAGTGACCATAAATAAACAAACACTTGAAAATGTGGAACATTTCACATATCTTGGTAGTGTGGTGTCCCTACTGGGAGGTACAGAGGAAGACATACAGTCACGCCTGAACAAAGCTAGAGCTGCTTTAGGAAGGATGAGGCAAATCTGGAAATCCAACAGTTACTGCAGAGGAACAAAACTCCGACTATACAAGAGCATCATTTTGCCAGTTCTTCTTTGTGGAGCAGAATGCTGAAGAATGACCAAAAAGGATGCACCTAAGCTTTTCACTTCCACAACAGATGTCTACGTAGAAGTATCAAAATTTTCTTGCAGATACAATCTCAAACACTAAACTACTTCAAGTCACAAACCAAGAAAATCTAGACAATATGATAACCAAGAGAATATGGAAATGGCTTGGCCACGTTATGAGAATGAATCCTGATATACCTGCCAAAACAGCTCTCACCTGGACACCATAGGGAAAGAGAAAGAAGGGGCGCCCAAAAACAACATGGAGACGAACGATGTAGAGTGACCTGAATGCAGCATCTCTGACATGTAAAACTACACTGAAGATTGCACAGGACAGAAAAGCATGAAAAGTCCTCTCTGAAGCCTCATGTGCCACTAGGCATAAAAAGAACTGATGATTTGATGATGATGGTACCAGGAAGGAGGGGCAGGAGCCGACCAACACGAAGATGGGTACAGGATATAAATAACTCCTTGACTGTGAAAGTACACGAGGCAAGACAGCTGGCGAGAGACCGGGTTTCTTTGATGAGAACGACGTTCTGCAAAGGACCTACTTGATCATGATGAGATTAGTGACAATTTACATAGAAAAATCACGAGTTCACTATAAAATATTCCGTAGATGTCTCGAATAAATTTGAAGAGGTGTCAAACCTACCTGGTAATGCACGGGGACCAAGTCTATTAAAAAAAAAACTAATTCTGGAAAACGGATATACACGCAATATTCAAGTTCTGGAACAAGGTCAACTTGGGCGAACAATCAGGACTTTTCGGTGCTGTTTATAGTCGGTAAACGCGAAGAAAGAAGAAAAAAAAGAAGAAGAAGAAGAAGAAGAAGAAGAAGAAGAAGAAGAAGAAGAAGAAGAAGAAGAAGAAGAAAAAGAAGAAGAAGAAGAAGAACAAGAACAAGAACAAGAAGAACAAGAAGAAGAACAAGAAGAATAAGAAACATAATAATATTAACAATAATAATAATAAACATTTCGCATTACAAAAAAGTCAATAGGGGTGAGATTTGAAAGTTGCTTTGGCAAAGACCCTGCTTCAGAAACGATGGTCCTGATAACTTGGTCATGTTGCACACCCATTCGGGTCGAACTTTACCGTTATCGTTATTTATAACATTCTTCCTTGCAGGTGAATGCCCTCGACCTAAACACATTTAAAGTTCAAACTTCTATGAAAACAGCGGAGAAGGCTGTAAGTTCCTTGCGTGGCAGTATCTCAAGTCTGCTGTCTGTCGCCCCAGAAATACAGACTCTTCGCGAGGAGATGGAAAATGTCTTGTCTATGATACCTTCAGGTAGGCTACCAGCATTTATCACTACGACTAATACTTCTACAACGAAAATGACAAAGACCACAAACAACTAACTACTGCTGCTACTACTGCTGCTACTACTTCTCCTATTACTACTCCTGCTACTGCTGCTAAATTTCTTCCACTACCACTTTTAGCATCACAACTACTACTACTTCTGCTGCTGTTACGACTACTACTACTACTACTACTACTACTACTACTACTACTACTACTACTACTACTACTACTACTACTACTACTACTACTACTACTACTCCTACTTCTTCTTCCTCTACTACTACTTCTACTAATGTCACTACTACTAAATGTACCATCACGGCTACTACTACTGCTCTGCTACTACTACTACTACTACTACTACTACTACTACTACTACTACTACTACTACTACTACTACTACTACTACTACTACTACTACTACTACTACTACTACTACTACTACTACTTCTTCTTCTTCTTCTTCCTCTTCTACTACTTCTACTAATGTCACTACTACTAAATGTACCATCACGGCTACTACTACTGCTCGGCTACTACTACTACTACTACTACTACTACTACTACTACTACTACTACTACTACTACTACTACTACTACTACTACTACTACTACTAGCACTACTACTGCTGCTACTACTGCTACTACTACTACTCCTCCTACACCTACTTTTACTACTATTCCAACTACTCCTACTACTACTACTACTATAACTACTAGTACTACTACTACTACTACTACTACTACTACTACTACTACTACTACTACTACTACTACTACTACTACTACTACTACTACTACTTCTACACTACCACTACAACTACTATTTCTACTACTACTACTACTACTACTACTACTACTACTACTACTACTACTACTACTACTACCACTACCACTACCACTACTACTACCACCACCACCACTGCTACTACTACTATTTCTACGACTACTGCTACTATTTTTACTATTACTACTGTGGAGTCATTCACCTATTTGGATAGTAATGTAGATAGTGACGTAAGAACTGACAGAGATGTTAATATAGAAATAGAACTAGCAAGATGGGATTCCATAGCATTGGGGAATTTGTGACGGTCAAAAGAAACTGAAACTAATACTAGATTTAAAATTTTTTATTTCTAATGTCAAATCAGTACTGTTGTATGGAGCTGAAATACGGAGAACAACTAAAATAATTATAATAACAACAATAACTATTACTACCAATATCCGTAAACTGTTGCATGCATAGAAGAGAGTGAATTATATGGTATGCTAGAATCATTAATGTTAAGCTGTGGGAGAGAACTAAACAAGTTCCAGTTGATCGAGAGGTGAAGAAAAGACGCTGGCTTGTGATAGGACATAGGCTGAGAAAATCTGACAACAGTTTAACTAGAATGTCTTTGCAACTGGAACCAACAGGGGCGTAGGAATAAAGGAAGACCAAAAACGCTGAGAAAGGGAGCTGGAAAGTGAAGTGAAAAAAAAAAAAGATAAGGAGGACATAGGGAGAGCTGCATGAAATAGCAAAGAATAGAACGACTTGGCATGAGTTGGTTAAAGGCCTATTCTCCACTAGGGGACAGAAGGCAGAAGGAAGGAAGACTGCTACTACTGCTGCTACTACAACCACCATCACCACCATCAGTACCACTACTACCACTACTGCTACTATCACCAACACTACTAATACTACTACCACCACCTATACTACTGCTGCTACTACTACTACCACCACCATTACTACTACCAACACCATCACCAATACTACTGCTATTACCATCACTACTACTACTACCACCACCACTACTACTACCAACACCACCATCAATACTATTACTACTTATACTACTACCACCATTACTACTATTATTACTACTACCACTACTACCGCTACCACCATTACTACTATTATTACTACTACCACTACTAGTACTACCATCATTAATACTACTACTACCACCACTTCTACGACCAACACCATCATCAATACTATTACTACTAATACCACTACCACCATTACTACTACTATTACTACTACCACTACTAGTACTACCATCATTACTACTACTACGACTACTGTTACGACTACTACTACTACCACCACCGCCACCACTTCCACTACCATCACCACCACTACTGCTACCACAAGCACCACTATTACTACGACTGCTGCTGCTGCTGCTACTACTACTACTTTCACAAAACAAAACTATATTACTACTAAACTTTTTTTACAACTACTACAAAAAACAACTACTGCTGTTGCTGCTACTGCTACTACTACTTCGACTGTTACTGATACCGTCGTGTATAGCTGTTTAAATTTCTCACGTATAGGGCCATTTTTTCGACTTCATCCTGCACGTAGATTGATGCTAGTTTCTTTATTTTCCCTTTGACACTAAACGTTAGTTTCTTGCTTCTCTTCCACTACAGATTGTCACGAATACTTCCGCCGAGGTCATTTGGAATCCGGAGTCTACGTTATTTATTCAAAGAAGCTGAAAAGAACAGTTCGAGTCTTCTGTGTAATGGAAGATAACCACAAATCCACACGCAGTACCTTTACATTTACCAGCTCTGGGTTTCCGCGAAGTATAGATACAATAAACGACAGTCTTTCAGAAGTGGCTGATAAAAACAATTTAGATAAGGATAAAGAAGATATTAAATTCTCCACAGGGTGGACTGTCATACAGCGAAGACAGACAGGGAGATTGAACTTTACTCGCTCGTGGGAAGAATACGCCCGCGGTTTTGGTGTTGCCGACGATGAATACTGGGTAGGAAATGAGGTCATGCACGCGCTAACCACACAGAAAGACTACGCGCTGCGGTTTGTCATGGAAGACATGTCTTCCACGATATGGGAAGCAACGTATTCTCAGTTTACGTTATCAGGAAAGGAAGATAATTATAGGATACACCTTAGTGGATACTATGGGAATGTAAGTGATGGAATGATTCGCTGCAACGTATCAGCGTTTAGCACTGTTGACTCTGATAACGATTCTAGTTCCTCTCATTGTTCTTTGTACAATGGCGGCGGCTGGTGGTACAGTCAGTGTCACGTGACAAACTTAAACGGACCGTATAATATAGGTATGGTTTGGTTTAGTTATGATAGGCAGGACTGGATTCAGATGAGATCGAGTGTGATGATGATCAGGCCGAAGATATAATCAGGTTAAAATATACTGTTCAAACACACATACAAACCGTAGTTATCCGATGAGGCGTTTTTATTAGTTGACGAGAAAACCCGTTTTGCCTGAAAATATCGATCACCCAGATGCAGAAGAATTGTCAACTGATTGGTTGAACACCAAGGTATTCTTGTGTGCAATTGTAGCAGTTTCACCGACTGATTTACCAAGATATTGAATGTGAAAATTTTGATACAAAAATGTTCCTTTCTTATGCGTGTCTTTTTTAATGTGGTGTGTTTAAACTTCAAACAGTCTAGGCAATGTTGTAACTCTTCTAGTAGCCTGTCTCACATGAATGGGCTAAATATGTGCCCCCCCCCCCCACAATTTACTGCATTTGAGTGGATCCAGTATTTGTACTCAACAAGTCAATGTTATGTAAGATAAAAGACCTATGAAACGATATCAAAACGACGGTAAACCGTTATCAAAACGACAGGGGGGTGGGGGGGGGGGGCGACGATAAAGCATCAAAACAACAGTGTAACGTTATCATTATTACAGTAAAACGTTATCAAAACAAGGTTAAAGGTTATTAAAACAACGGTCAAACGTTATCAAAACAAAGTGAAACGTTACCAAAACAAGGTAAAACGTTATCAAAACAACGGTAATACGTTATCAAAACGACGGAAAAACATTAACAAAACGACGGGAAAACATGAACCAAACGACAGGAAAACGTTAATAAAGCAGCTGGAAAAAGTTATCAAAACAAAGGGGGAACATCAACAAAACGACGGGAAAGCGTTAGCAAAGCGACGGGAAAACGTTACCAAAACGACGGGAAAATGTTAACAAAGCGACAGTAAAACGCCATGACAGGGTCAGAAAAATGCAGTTTTGTTTGTATATTTTCTGTTTCATCGTTCGCCCGAGAAGCTAACTGCGTTGTGCCTGTTGACAGCACATACGCGATTTGTGCGCCTTTCGGCCGATACATCCAGCTTCATCGGACATTTGTAGTCTTTGGTTTCAGCACGGCTGACTACAGTCGGTCGTGGTTCGACAGTGACGAAATGGTCAAAGTGTTTGTCTGGCGTTCTGAAGGACGTGGGTTCACCGCCCCATTAATATTTTGACATGTTAAATTGTTTTCAAATTTTTCATTCGACACTTTGATTTATGTAGATTTTAATAGTTCTTGTAATGTTTTTTTTTTTTTTTTTTTTGGTCCTCTTCTTTTTAACGATATTTGTTGTTGAAATTTGGGGGAAAGGAAAAAAAAGGGGTTGGGGGGGGGGGGGGGTGTCGAAGGAGTCTTGCTATATACATTCAAATTAGACAGCCTGAAAATGGTTGAAAACCCACCGATAAAGACCTATCGCCAGTTGACGGATGGTGAGACCAGCATCAGGCCATCCACTTTCATCTGGGCAAAGATCTGACACCACACCAGTTAGAATAAACCCACATTATGTCGGCGACAGGGTGGCCCAATGGCTGGCGTTAGAGGATTTCGTCGCCAGTCGGGACAGTATTTAGGTCTGTCTCCTTTGAATGTATAGCTTTTAGTGGCGTGTAATGCTGGTGCAAATAACCTAGCCACAATGATAGCCGAAAGCTCCGCCTTATGGGATGCTGGTTCAACGTAAGGATTTTTGTTGTTGTCAAAAACTAATGATTATGATAAAGCCCATATTAGCTTCTTCTCTCTTCTAAACAACCAGCAAAGAGCCTCCATCGAAGGTACTGTTGTCAACTGGTTAATTACTTGTCTTGTGGTTGCTGCATCCTTCTCTCAACGGCTTTCATTATCTCCTATTTTACTGGTTACCTCCTCCCAGAGGGAAGAGATCACCTCTGCCTTGTACAGCTGAGCGACGTCCGTGGTTTAGGCGTTGAGAGTTCGACTCATAATTCCAGCGTACTGCAATCAAATCCCACTGCTGGCTGCGTGGATTTTTATCGTGACAAGTGGCGTCGCAGGTCAAAGTGTTCTGACTTGGTACAAAAAATCCCTAATTAGGCAGTCAGGCGACTTTGACATCATGCTTGTAAGGGAGGCTGTGGTCCCTCCCCATCTGTCCCCCCCCCCAAAAAAAAAAGACTGTGCCCTGGAACACACTAAGACTAGCGAAGATAAATATTAACACAAAAGTCGTGCACAATGTAAACGAAATTTCCAATAAAATGGATGAATCTAGCTCATTGTTTAATTTCCACAAGCCCTCTTTTTACATTCATCGCCAAAGAATTACACGCTAGGCTACTGTAGAATCCTCAGTCATCCTAACGCATCCAAGGAGTGGTATGCTAACTAGGACGGATTTCGGGCTTAGTGACAAATAAACAAACAAACAAATGTGTACTTACTTGAAAAGGTACGGCATCAAAGAAGATGGCCAGGAACCAGTTGAGAGTGACAGTTGAAATCTCAATGTCTATAGCATCCAGATGTTTGGCAAGCTCTGGCAGCTTTTCCACCATGAGATCGTGCAGCACCATCTGATCTGCTTGGGCACCAAGGAGGTTGTGGTCGAAGTATGAAGGAGAATGGTACCTTTCTGTGACCGCTACTAGGGTCCTAAAGTTGGGGAGACAGGGAAATAACACTCAGTTATTTATTCTGGACTTCAGGGAAAGACAATATGCATAATCACAAGTACACAAACATGATCTGAGACATTGGTGATCATGTGAGACAGCTATATCTGAATGCCAAATCTACTGGCATGCCATCTAAATGATTAACAGGTTGACTGGATGATTAACAGGTTGACTGGATGATTAACAGGTTGACTGAATGATTAACAGGTTGACTGGATTATTAACAGGTTGACTGGATGATTAACAGGTTGACTGGATGATTAACTGATTTATTATTTGATTAACTGATGACAGTTTGATTGACTGATTATCTATCAGTTGATCGACTGATTTATTACAGATCAGTTGATTGACAGATTATTCAGCTGATTGACTGATTAATCAATTATTGATCAGTTGATTGACAGATTAATTAGTTAATTGACTCATTGATTGATTATTGATAAGTTTATTGACATATTTATCAGTTGATTGACAGATTAATCAGTTGATTGCCTGATTATCAACTGATTGATTATTCATCAGTTGATTGACTCATTGATTGATTATTGATCAGTGATTGACAGATTAACCAGTTGATTGACTCACTGATTTATTATTGATCAGTTGATTGACATATTAATCAGCTGATCGACGGACTAATTAACTGCTCAATTAATTAATTAACTGATTAGTTGAATAACTGATCAGTTGACAGATTAGTTAACTGACTGAGTGGGTGACAGTCTAGGAACTTACCAGAAAGCATCTTGTGCATCCATGAAGAGAAGTGCCATAGCCACAAGGAAGTTCATCCCCTGGCAATATCCAACTTGTGGATTGTGGATACAAAATGCAAGTAGGATATCTTGAAGATCCATAATCTGGAATATAAAACAAGTAAAACGTATTCCCATATGCCTTAGGAAAAATGATGAACATAAAACGTATTCCGATATGCCTTAGGAAAAATGATGAACATAAGTTGGGAGGAATTCAAGAGGAGTCAAAAGATGAGAGAGAAATCTGGCAACCACTGGTATCAACAGTTATAAGACAGAAAAGATGGCACTCTATTGGAAACATTTTGATTACAGTGTTTTACCTTTTGCATTATGTAAGGATCTTGGTAAACCTTTGGCTGGCATCTCTTAAGACATGAATATTAGATTACAGTGTTTTTACCTTTTGCTTTATGTAAGGATCTTGGTAAACCTTTGGCTGGCATCTCTTAAGACATGCATATTAGATTACAGTGTTTTTACGTTATGCTTTATGTAGGGATCTTGGTAAACCTTTGGCTGGCATCTCTTAAGACATGAATATTAGATTACAGTGTTTTTACCTTTTGCTTTATGTAAGGATCTTGGTAAACCTTTGGCTGGCATCTCTTAAGACATGCATATTAGATTACAGTGTTTTTACGTTATGCTTTATGTAGGGATCTTGGTAAACCTTTGGCTGGCATCTCTTAAGACATGAATATTAGATTACAGTGTTTTTACCTTTTGCTTTATGTAAGGATCTTGGTAAACCTTTGGCTGGCATCTCTTAAGACATGCATATTAGATTACAGTGTTTTTACGTTATGCTTTATGTAGGGATCTTGGTAAAAAGAATCACTAGACAAACAGGCAATGAAATGGGAAATAATGGGACTGAGGAAACAAGGAAAACCATGAGAAAAACTAAGACAAAAGTTGATTAGAGAAACCAGTCGTGCGGAACTGGATTCCATCCGTAGAATCAAAGTGTTTCCTCAGAGCAAAATGGAGGAATAGACTGCAAGCCTCATGTCACATATAATGGCAGCTGATAACGAATGAATGAATGAAGTAACAAACTCAGGGAACCCCAGTGGAGTAGTCTGTTAACACTCATTTGTCGACCAGAAAGTCAAGGGCTTGAATCTGCAATGAGGCATATTTGTTTCCAGAAACTGATCTTGGCTCCCGGGTCGACTCAGCTTAAAATGGGTATCAGGAAATGTATTAGGAAGCAAACGTGGCCAGGGCAATCTTGACAACATCACACACTGAAAGCTGATTGGTCTGAAAATTATGATTCTAGCATTATATGTCCAGTGTACCAGTGGCACAACAAATAAAAAATAACATATTCTTGTGAGAACAGGAATTCTTTCACTGGGCCAAACTGAACATATGGCTGTGAATCATGGATAATTCTTTCATCAGTTTTCCCCCTCCAGATTTTCAGTCTGTAGGATAACTATCTCAAGGATTTAAAAAAAACCCACAGGTACAAATTTCTAATTCCCCTCTCCCTAATTTCCCTCCCCCTAATTTCCCTCCCCCTAATTCCCCTCCCCCTAATTCCCCTCCCTCTAATTCCCCTCCCCCTGATTCCCCTCCCCCTAATTCCCCTCCCCCTAATTCCCCTCCCCCTAATTCCCCTCCCCCTAATTCCCCTCCCCCTAATTCCCCTCCCCCTAATTCCCCTCCCCCTAATTTCCCCTCCCCCTATTTCCCCTCCCCCTAATTCACCTCCCCCTAATTTCCCTCCCCCTAATTCCCCTCCCCCTAATTCCCCTCCCCCTAATTTCCCTCCCCCTAATTCCCCTTCCCCTAATTTCCCTCCCCCTAATTCCCCTCCCCCTAATTCCCCATCAAATGTCACCCCCGTACCCACCCAGGGATTTGTGATTCTTTACAAGAGTAAATTGAAAGGATCCTTTTTGACACCTTTATGTGAATTGGGCATATAGGGCTAGACCTGTATTTTATAGACCAAAGGGTATTTGGTGGGTGATTGTGTCAGCATCTTGCGGGCTGCCTTTACTTTCCAGGATTTTATCTGGTACCCATTTAAGGCTGTGTCGATGAGGGAGCCAAGGTCATTTTTTTAAATGTAGTAATAGTAGTAGTAGTCATTGTAGTAGTAGTAGTAGTAGTAGTAGTAGTAGTAGTAGTAGTAGTAGTAGTAGTAGTAGTAGTAGTAGTAGTAGTAGTAGTAGTAGTAGTAGTAGTAGTAGTAGTAGTAGTAGTAGTAGTAGTAGTAGTAGTAGTAGCAGCAGCAGTGGTAGAAGTAGTAGTAGGAGTAGTCAGCGTAGTAAAGTAACACAAGACACACAGGAGACTGACCCCCTTGGAGCCTGGCGTAGAGAACTTCACATTGCTGGGCATTGTTCTCATCAAATCCAGACTGATCTGTTTACGGTACCTGGCTGCCAGCTGTAAGACAAAATTTAACATTTTGTCCATTGTTTTGTTTAACATTTCGTCTCTTGTTTTGTTTAACTTGTTGTCTCTTGTTTAGTTCAACATGTTATCTCTTGTTTATTTTAGCATTTAGTCTTTTCTTCTGTTTAACATGTTGTTTTTTGTTTAATTTAACATGATTCTTGTTTACTTTAACATGTTGTCTCTTGTTAAGGTTAACATTTTGTCTCTTGTTTAGTTCAACACGTTATCTCTTGTTTATTTTAACATAACTCTGGTTTAGTTTAACATGCTGTCACTTGTTAAGTTTAACATTTTGTTTCTTGTTTAATATGTACAGAAAATCAAATAAACACAAATAGCAGCTGTAATAAATACCCTGTTTAATTTAGTTAATTATGGATAAATGCTATCTTTTCAAAGTTCGTTAACACCAAGGTGAGATCTTTCAAAGAACAAAATACCAGTTACATGTTTTGTGTGTGGAATATTATTGCACCATATTGCATTGTCATCCATGATAAGTATGTAAACAAAATTTTGGCTTTGATTCAAAGATCTTGACTCTCTCTCTCTCTCTCTGTGTGTGTGTGCGTGCGTGCGTGCGTGTGTGTGTGTGTGTGTGTGTGAGTGAGTGAGTGAGTGAGTGAGTGAGAGAGAGAGAGAGAGAGAGAGAGAGAGAGAGAGAGAGAGAGAGAGAGAGAGAGACAGAGAGAGATTACCAAAGAAAGAGAAATAGATATTTACTTATTGGAGAGAGAAATAGGTGTTTACCTACTGGAAAGAGAAATGGATATTTAATTACTGGAGAGAGAAATATATATTTACTTACTGGAGAGAAATAGACATATATTTACTGGAGAGAGAAATAGGTATCTACTTATTGGAGAGAGAAATAGATGTTTACTTACTGGAAAGAGAAATAGATATTTACTTAGTGTATAGAAACAGATATCTATTTACTGGAGAGAGAAATAGGTATCTGCTTATTGGAAAGAGAAATAGATGTTTAGTTACTGGATGTTTAGTGGAGGGAGAAATAGATATTCACTTACTGGAGAATCTGGGGCAGCACTGCACAGGCTCCTGAAATAATGGGCCCCTTTCTCCTGGACAATGTCCTCCACCTGAGCCAGCACAAACGTTCTCCACATCTGCTTTCGGTGGGTGTCGGGAATCCCCGCTCTGACCAAGGCTTTCAGTTCTTTCTTCTGTTGACATTTATCATCAAAAGCATCAAAAGGGGACCTGGGTTTCTGGGCCTCATTTTGAAAGGATAAAAACCAAAAGCATGTCAGAAAAGGTGACTGATCAAGTGCCAATGAATGTATAGGGGTGAAAAGGTGCAGATACGCAGCCTAGCTGTAAACGACAATACATTCACTAAATTTATAATAAGTAAGTAAGCAAAATAAAGGACCCTTTCCACACTATAAGGCGTATAGGGTATATAGGGCTAGACCTATATTTTTATAGACCAATCGGCACAAAATGGGTGATGCGGTCAGCATCACGCCGGCCGCCTTTAATTCCTGGGACCTCACCCGGTACCCACTCAAGGCTGGGTTGACCTGGGAGCCAAGGTCATTTTTGAAAAAAGTTTGGCTCCGCCCGGGAGGGAACCCGCAGCCTTCCTATCCACGGACACGGCAACTCCCCTAAATTTATAATGCATGGGGTAAAATGCAAAAAAGTTGATGCTGCTGGTATCGATGATGATGATGTTGATAATAATGATGTTCATAATGATGGTGATGAAGTTGATGTTGATGCTGATACAAGATCCATTTAAGACATCATCCCCGAGTGGATTCCGCAGCCCCATTATGTGGGAAACAAGAATAAACCCACTGCCTGCATAACAAGCAGGCAAGTCTAGCTGGGAGCTTCCTTCGCAGTCATAATGATGATGAAAGGAAATTAATGAGAATGCTGATGATAAAAATGACGATGGTAATGATGATGATTATGATGATGAGATGATGATGTTGATAATGATGATGTTGATGATGATAAATTTGATGATTATGACAACAGAAAGAGTTCAGTCTACTGGAGATTGTACAAAAACCCACTGATAACCCACTAACTGAGATCAAGACAAGGCAGCACTCACATTGGCCATCAGGTTCTTTGATTTGTTCTTTAAGTACAGCAGCCAGTTCTTCTGATGCTTCTCATAGGAGCTGGCCTGACACAGAAAGTGTTGGCTGAGTTCTTGGCACAGGTAGTGCAGCAGCAGGCCATCATCTGTGGATCATAGTCGAGACCGTTCATCTTGAGGGGGGGGGGGGGGGGGTCTCTGTCACACTGATCAGTGTTCAGCTTTAAACTATTCATCTTGGGGGGGGGGGGGGGGGGTCTCTGTCACACTGATCAGTGATTAGCTTTAAACCATTCATCTTAGGGTGAACTCTGTCACACTGATCAGTGTTCAGCTTTAAACCATTCATCTTGGGGGGGGGGGGATCTTTGTCACAGTGATCAGCTTTAAACCATCATCTTGGGGTGAACTCTGTCACACTGATCAGTGTTCAGCTTTAAACAATCATCTTGGGGTGAACTCTGTCACACTGATCAGTGTTCAGCTTTAAACCAACATCTTGGGGTGATCTCTGTCACACTGATCAGTGTTCAGCTTAAAACCATCATCTTGGGGTGAACTTTGTCACACTGATCAGTGTTCAGCTTTTAACAATCATCTTGGGGAGATCTCTGTCACACTGATCAGTGTTCAGCTTTAAACTATCTTGGCGTGATCTCTGTCACACTGATCAGTGTTCAGCTTTAAACCATTCATCTTGGGGTGATCTCTGTCACAGTGATCAGCTTTAAACCAGCATCATAGAACTGTTTTAACAGAATGTCAGGAAAGTGAAGACAGGAAGAGCAGAGAGGAGGATGAGGAACAGGATGAAGAGGAGGAGAAAAAGCAGATGAAGAAGGAAAAGAATAAGAAGGGGGTGGAGGAGGAGAATAAGAAGTATAATAAGAATGAGGAGATAAGAGAAGGAGGAGAGAGGAGGAAGAGAATAAAAAGCACAAAAAGAATGAGGAGAAGATAAGAGAGGGAGGAGAGAAAAGGAGGAGAAGAACATCACCAAGATGAAGAGGAATACAAAGAGGAAAGGGGAAAGAGGAGGTAGAAGGGAATAGAAGAAGAAGAAGAAGAAGAAGAAGAAGAAGAAGTAGAAGAAGAAGAAGAAAAAGAAGAAGAAAGAAGAAAGAAGTTGCAGGACAGAAGATGGAGAAGAAGAAAGAGCGAAATGAATCAAAATAAATATGATTGTTCTTAACAAACTGACAATGAAACTAGAAAGAAATTGGGCATACCTGAGAAGTGATGTTTGAAACCATAGCTGTCGACATGAACCTCCCCGGACGCCAGGTGCTCGTAGGTCGGGAGGCTAGGATTAATCTTTCTGGCTTCCTCCAGTAAAGACAGAATGCGGTGCTTATGCTGCAAGAAACAAAGTATATTACTGTGTGTCAGCGTCATTTGTAGATGTTATCTTCACAGTAAAGACAGAATGCGGTGCTTATGCTGCAAGGAACAAAGTATATTAGTGTGTGTCGGCGTCATTTGTAGATGTTATCTTCACAGTAAAGACAGAATGCGGTGCTTATGCTGCAAGAAACAAAGTATATTATTACTGTGTGTCAACGTAATTTATAGATGTTGTCTCCACAGATACAGTCTCCAAAGACTGGATACAATGTTAGATACTGATGTCTCCAGGAATATGGATTTTCTTATTCTTCAAATTCTTCATACTTGCTTTCAGTTTCTAACTTTCTAAAAGGGTAGAGCTGAAGAGGCTTAAGGCCAGTTTCAGTTTGTATTAATAATAATAATAGTATTATTATTATTATTAATATGATTTTTACTGTGTACTGAATAACCCATTAATTTAATAGAACAATAACATGGAATACATACAAACATAATTAAAAGAAGAACATACATACATACATGGTTAAAGTAGACCATTTAATTCCCTTGCATATGCTCTAAGAATTTTATGGGGGGGGCAGCCTTCATGTCTTGTAAAAAAATTCTTCGTGGGGGGAGTTTTCTAGGCCCTCAGGCTCCAGCGCCTGTGCACTAAGTGCCCACTGGTCAATAAATATATGGGTCTGGTCAAGGATTATCCCACTACCATCCCGCCCCCGAAAACAAAAGTGATGGCACTCAGACAAAGTGTTTAAATAAAAGCAGGTTGTAGCGTCCCAGTATGAGATAATGTCCTGTTCACGTTTCCTGGCTCATCTACACACTACCTTACCTTTCTTTCATACTTTCTCCAGACTCTTCTATGTCGGAGAGGTGTCACGTTGTCTTCTCTCCAATTACATTAGAGCCGATGTCGCGTGTTCTATACTAGACAACGACACAGCTTTCAGCGATACCAGAACATCTAGAACTGGCCCTAACTCAACCCTCTCCCCCTCCCTCTTACCCACAGCCTGAACTTAGGTCACACAAGAGACTCTTTTCGAAGAAAGCAGTACAACGTGACAAGCCCTCTGACCTAGATCAGACCGAGAACATGTGTAGAAGGGCCTGAAGGAGTGAACAGGTCTGGAGATGCAATTTTTTGTTATTTTAAAGCCCCCACTCCAGCTGTTGTCAGGAGCCCTAATATTATCTAACGGTTGAACAAGGGTTTCTGGGACTCATCCGAATGGTGGCACTTTGTGTCATATGGTGTTAATTGCTCGTTGTGCGGTTCTAGTGGGGTTGAATTTCATTCATTCATCGAAAAGCTCTAGTGCGCATGACAAAGTGTCTGTTGCAGTAACACCGATGAAATGAGGCCGATAAAAAGGTCCTGGTACTCTGCACCAGCAAAAGAAAAAAAAATTGAGGGGTCTAGTGGAAGTACAACTATAAACATGAAAACCTGTTTTCTGTCCTACTGTGCCTTAGCCAACACCCCCACTCTGCCCCTCTTTCACCTACAGTTCTATACCTCCGGATTTATAATATGATCATCCCCAGTATAATACTCCCAGCGTTACATAACCATAACTGGTTTTTTTTTCAAGACAAGGGAAGAAACTCACCCGATCGCCTCCAAATAACGACAACTCTGCATCATCCATGGTATCCGTGCCTGTGAAACGGATACTGGACTGTATAAGGGAAATATACTCCAGCTTCCACACTTCTATGTCTGCCTCCAGACTCCGGACTTTGCTGCAGACATTTGGGGAATATCAACAAAAGCTGATCAGAAACATAAGTATTTTTTTAAAAACTTATTTAGAAACCAGGAGTTGTTAACCCTTTGGCTCTGTATTATGGATATCTCAAACTTTCGGCCTTGATTCCATGATAAGTACCGTAAATCTGGGAGAAATGTGGCTTTTCTGCCTACCACCAGGCATGGACCCAGATCACAAGGAGTTTGTCACTCTGTCGCCGTGAAGTCAGGTTTAACCAACTATGCTAGTGAGCCAGGGCAAACATAAGTATAAGTCAAACAGTCCAAAACATCGATAACATCTGAACAGAAACTTGAAAAGAATCCAAAATATCATGACCAGCTATATATATAAGATGGCGAGGCAGTGGATGTTTTTCAGCCAGCATCTAACCAGGGTCAGGTTCGGACACCGTTGAGAGGAAGTTGTGATAAACTAGTCAGTATGTGAAAGTCTAGTTCAAGTCTGACTTTCTAGAAAGTTTGAAAACAATGACTGGTCCAGCTAACCAACAGTGGCTTACTTTAGTGCTAGTAGAGAATGAAGAGATCTCACGAACCGACTAGAATGAAAGGGACAGTGGAATACAGCTTCAAGAACATATTAATAGACTCCACTCAGAATGCGACAACTACGATATGAAGATCAGTGTAGACAAAACAGCAGCAAGCGAAGAGTTCCAATTCCGATGATAACAGTAACTTTCTGATTGTAGATCTGTCTCCCCTTTCCCTTGAGTGTTAAACATCGGTCAGATCCCCTGGTAACTCCCTGCAGCGCCATTCTCCTCAGACCGTTATGATCTGTTGTGCCTCCGCACTGTTCATTCGCTTCCATTGGCCCTTACAACATCTAACTTGTCATGCATCAACTCGCCACCAAGTGGTGCAGAATCGCGAGTTTATCAGTCTGATCATTTTCCGACACACCAGACTGACCTTCTTCCCCTCAATATAGTTGAAAAGCCCTGCTATAAACTACATACACTTGGGCAACAGATCAACTAGCAGTCGAAGAAGAGGAGGGCAAAAGAGAAACTGGAATGACAACATCAATAAATGGATAAGACTAAGTTATCATACACTTATTCATCAAGCGGAAGATAGAGAAAGATGGTGTGCTAGTACTTCCACTGATACACCTCTACGACCCTAATGGGTCTAGGGTTATGTTATGTTATGTTATGCAGTTCAGTAAAGAGCAACATATGAGATGGTCTGGCTATCGCATGAGAATGCCCCAGTACAAGCTGCCACACAGAGCTAAGAAGAAGACCCAGCAAAACAAAGAACGACAGTGTCAAGAACAGCCTGAAAGAAAATACATTAGAAAGATCTCACAGAAAAGCCTTATATCTCTCTTTAGCTTCTTGATGAGATCACTGGAGGAAGACAAGAAGAAGGAGAAGCAGAAGCAGAAGAAGGAGAAGCAGACGAAGCAGAAGCAGAAAAAGGAGAATGGGGTGTTAAAAAATGACCCACCCTTCCTGGATTTTAATCTTCTCATGTTCTTGTCCACGAAGTTTGGCCAGCCGTCGGACCTCTTCATTGAGAAACCTGTTTTGGTTCTGCAAGACGCGAATTCTTTCCTCATTACCCTTGCTCACTGTTGACATTCTGTAGAATAATCAGGGATGAATTTTTACAGGACCTACAACTATAAAACATGGTAGGGGGACTACACAAACAAATACTTCCAAACATCTCAACACAAGACCTTTCCCCGAACATAACACAGAAAACTAGAATCATCATCATCATTATCATCATCATCATCATCATAACAATGTGATTAAAATTGATCGTGTGTGCAACTGCTGATTTGTTGGTTACCTCTGCTACCATCAATGATGAACTGCATTTCTAATGTCGGACTGTTTGTGTTAGCACTTTTGATGGCTACTGTATGCTTTTAATACGTGTTTATGCTAGTGCATTCGCTGAGACAGCAGTCTGTCATTCTTTCCACAAGGGACTGTGATAAACATTCTGTGCGTTTTTCGTTGGCACAGAAGCGGATCAACTATGGGGTGATTCGTTTGCTATGAAGCTGAAACTAACATTACCATTAATATCATAACGAACATGCTGATACATATAGGATTTCATGTTTTCCCATCTTCGTTTTGTTTTTGTCTCGCCCTGCCCGTGTGACCCAGCCATCCAGGCATCAATCACTTCACCTGCCTCATGCTCCCCCCCCCCTTTCCCACCAATACTGCAAACTAAGACCAAGTTCATGATTCTTTCTGATAACATTTCCACAAATGATAAAATTAAAAAAAAAAACCACACACACACGCACGCACACACACATACACCGACTGCCTACGACACATTTCTATAATCGGTTTACGGTTTTTAACTGCCTTGAGAATTAAGTACAGCCTCGTTTGTATATTTCCTAACTTCCTGCCCAATTGGCCCATAACTGGCTGTCGCTAGCGTTTTGAAAAGAAGTGGTGTAGCCCACCATACTACGTCCTTAACTACTTTCAACACCTGAAATAGCCAAGTTTTGCTTGTGCAAATTGCACTTTTTCTGGACCGTGAGTCTAAATGTCGTTGCCCAGTTACTGAGTTGAGTGCTTGGTGGGACACTATGAGCTGTGGAGTCAATATGGAAACTCCCCCCCCCCCCCAATTATGTGTGTATGTGTGTGTGTGCACGGCATGTTGATTACTGCACTAAACTGCATATGATATTTTGAGCCTTTCCACTGACCTACCCGACTACTGCATACTCGTCTACCCCCCCCCCCCCCCTTTCCCCACTAATACAGTTTAAAAAGAAAATAGATATTATTTACAGATCTTTATGTTCAAAAGCTATTTTCACGAAACAAGGAATTAGCAATCATGTGCTAAAGAGTATATCTTTCTATGCTCCTTCGGCAGTCCAAGCGGTTGACGTTCATTACTGCTGATATCATCTGTCTCCGTTCATCTCTGTGGTTGGTATTTTTCTGATTTGGGACACCAAGTGTTTGTAGGTCTGTCTGAATATTATCTCTCCATTGTCTGCTTGGTTTGCCTCAGGGTCTACTCCCATTCAACTCCCTTGTGTATAGCTTTCTATCTCTCTGTCATCTGACATTCTATATACATGCCCCAGCCATTTCAGTCTATTAGCCTTTGTAACACCAGTCATCAATGGTGATTAAAACAGACAACGTATTTCATTGTTGTTGTTTTTTCTAATGAATTCATGTCAGAACTAATTAATCTTATCTTCTTCTGCTGTCATTTGTGTCATAATTCATTAATGTTACCTTCTCTCTCTCTCTCTCTCTCTCTCTCTCTCTCTCTCTCTCTCTCTCTCTCTCTCTCTCTCTCTCTCTCTCTCTCTCTCTCTCTCTCTCTCTCTCTCTCTCTCCTCTCTCCTCTCTCTCTCTCTCAAATAAGTCATAATTAACTAATCTTACTTTTTCTTCCTGTCGCATATGTCATTATTAATTAATCCTATCTTTCCTTGCCGTCATATGAATCCTAATTAATCAATTCCACCTTCTCTTGCTGTTATATGTATCAAAATTAATTATTGTCACCTTCCCTTGATATTTGATTAAAAGAAAATCTGACCTTCTCTTGCTGTCAAAGATGTCATAAATATTCTTATCTTCACTGATAAGTCATAATTATGTATCTTATTTTCTCTTGCTGTTATATGTATCATAAATAATTACTCTTATCTTCACTTGAATCTCTAAAGTCCTAATTACGGATCCTACCTCCTCTTGCTGTTATATGTATCATAAATAATTACTCTTATCTTCACTTGAATTTCTTAAGTCCTAATTACGATCCTACCTCCTCTTGCTGTCGTAGGTGTCGTGGTTGATCGTCTTGCTTCCCAGTTTTTCATCCAGGTCTTCTATTATCTCATCTTTCTGTTTGAGTATCTCATGGAAGCAGGTCTGTCGATTGAGGACTTTGGCTAGCTCACACTTTGTCGCACTGGTGGATAGAATGAACGACAGAATTAACGAATTAACCGATAAAAAAAAAAATTAACATCACAGTAATCAGGATATTCCAACATGCACTCCGTCCCCTTCTTCAGCAGCCAATGATGGGTACTAATGTGTGCAACCAGATAGAAAGTCTGTCTATGTTTTTCCTTCTATAATGTGTGACTGAATCAATCAGTCAGTCAGTGTGTGTGCGCAGGTGCGTGCGTGCGAGTGTGCGTGCATCTTATAACGTGCAACGTGGCGCTGACTTCAAACACCCGTATGTCGGAAATGTCAACCTGCGTTCACATCAACACGATTGCATGACAAGGGATGAAAGCATGGTCAAGCACGTCTACGCCGCCTTTGAGGCCGAGATAGGAGACATAAAAACCTTCTCATAGGGATAATTAGTCTAGGTACCTCAGAGTGGCTGCTGCATCGGAGGACTGGCATGCGTGCCCAATGCCCAGTTAACATAGCATAGCATAACATAATGTAACATAACATAGCAATACATAACATAACATAACACAGTATAACATAGCATAACATAGCCTAACATGGTATAACATAACATAACATAACACTGTATAAAATAACATTACATAACATAGCATAACATGGCAAACCACAACATAGCATAAATTGGTATAATATAACATAAAATAGCATAACATAACTTAAGATAGCATAACATGGCATAATATAGCATAACATCGCATAACATAACATGGTATACCACAACATAGCATAACATAACATAACATAAAAAATATAACATAGCAGAACATGGTATACCATAAAATTACATAATATGGTATAATATAGCATAACACAGCATAACAAGGTATAGCAAGATATAACATAACACAGCATAGCATACTATAACGTAACATAGCATAAAATGGTATAATATAACAAGCTATAACATAGCATAAACTAACATAACATAGCATGAGATAACATAAACATATCCTAACATAACATAGCACAGCATAAACTGACATAACATAGCAAGACATAACATAAACATAGCATAACATAACCTAACATAACATAACATAGCGTACCATAACAATAACATAGCCTAACATGGCATAACATAACACAGCATAGCATAACGTAAAATAGCATTGCATAACACAGCATGACAAAACATAACACATCACATAGCTGACACAGTAAAGTGGAAACCAATTTATATTACTGTAACACCCCCTTCCTCACCACCCCTTTCTTGTATGTTTGTGTGTATGTGTTGGGGAATAATATGATATGCTCTTCATTTCTTCACCACACGGCATGAACAGTTTATATCAGCCAGAAGTCTGACCCAGTCGGAGAACACACCCCCAGCTGCTGCCTTCATAGCCTAGATCTCATTCTGGTTAGAAGCTGTTGCCGACCGCAATACATCAATCATGAAACAGGCAAGGTAAAACCGGCACGTTAAAACTGGCCCGGTAAAACTGGCACAGTAAAACCGGCACGTTAAAACTGGCCCGGTAAAACTGGCACAGTAAAACCGGCACGTTAAAACTGGCCCGGTAAAACTGGCACAGTAAAACCGGCACGTTAAAACTGGCCCGGTAAAACTGGCACAGTAAAACCGGCACGTTAAAACTGGCTCGGTAAAACTGGCACAGTAAAACCGGCACGTTAAAACTGGCCCGGTAAAACTGGCACGTTAAAACTGGCTCGGTAAAACTGGCACAGTAAAAACGGCACGTTAAAACTGGCCCGGTAAAACTGGCACAGTAAAACCGGCACGTTAAAACTGGCACAGTAAAACCGGCACGTTAAAACTGGCCCGGTAAAACTGGCACAGTAAAACCGGCACGTTAAAACTGGCCCGGTAAAACTGGCACAGTAAAACCGGCACGTTAAAACTGGCCCGGTAAAACTGGCACAGTAAAACAGAAACGATATCAAGAAAGGATATCAGTCTTTT